ACCCAGTTTGGATGATTTTATATCATTGCAACTGTAACATATCCTTATTAATTTTTTTTAATAGTGGAAGGGACACCAGAAGGCAAAAGCATTGAGGGCTATAATGGGTGGCCCAAGTCACTCAAGAAGGGCCCAAGTCAAGGGGGAGCCTGCCTGCTCCCCCCACCCTTCTAACCTGTCTGTCTATTTGTTTGTTTGTTTATTTTAAGATTTATTTATTTATGCATATAAGAGCTGGGGTACAGGTCAGAGGTGTGGGGGTGGGGTGGTGGGAGAAGATTCACCAGAGACAGAGTGGGGAACAGAACAGGCAGATTGACCGAAGTACACTGCTGAGAGGAGCAGCGGGCGAGTCAGAAGAGGTCTACTGCATCATGTGTGTTTGCTCCCTGGCTGCCCGGGAATTGAACTCATGCTGCAGTGGCTGCGGATTGCTTCATAGGTTGTGTCTTAACCCTTGCGCCACCAGGGAGGCCCATCTGAATGTATTTAAAGCCCATTATCTCTCCAGCCTATCCTTCACCTCTTAGGTGTGTGGTCACACCCCAGGGAGACCTCTCTAGGCCCTCTTACAGGTTACACCCTCTTATATGCCCTGTGGCATCTGGCTTTCAGTGAACACATGGTGGAGTGTTTTGGGGGCACAAACTCTGGAAGTCCATGACTGGGTTTGAAAGCTGGCTCTACCAACGGTCAGCCATGTACAGTTGGATAAGTTGGTCATTTCTCTGACCCTTGGCTTCCTTGTCTGTAAAATGGGGGTAGTAAAAGTAACTTCCTAACAGAGTTCTAACAGATTATTTGAGTATTTTTAAAGCCCTCCTTCCCTTATCCTCTGAGACTCAGGTTCCTTACTTGTAAAATGGGGATGGCAATAGAGTTGTGATAGACTAAATAAGTATCTTTAAAGCACCCAGAACCATGCCTCCTACCACAAAGTTCCATCTAAGGGTTTATTAAAAGCAGTTTGATCAATATCTTACTCCACTTAGCAGTAAACCCCATAAAGACAGAGACTATGACTGGCCTTAGTCTCCCGGGTATCCTCAGGCCTGGCACATAGTAGATAGACACCCAAATGATTGAATGAATGTATTTCAGTCCTCCTTTTTTTGCTCATGTTACTTTCTGTTGGAAGTCATTTACACTTTAGTACGAAGTACTAAATGTATAGTTAATACCACCCTGGTATATTAATACTACCCTGTTCCCTTTCCTGGAGTACTTTTTTGCCTGATCTGGTCACCAGGGAAGGAAATGTTCTGTCTCCCTAGGGAAGGAATGTGATCAGGTTGGGGAGCTTTTCAGGGTTGGAGGGGCAGGATTTCTTTCTTCACTCTGAAATTGTGAGCCATATCCTCTACATCCTCTGCTTCCTAAAGTGAAGTGCCTGAGCATTTGTGCCCCTTTATATTTTTAAATGAGATGTTTTCCTCCTTTTTTTGAGGGGCGAGGCCTTTGGCAGGCAGCTGACCCTAGTCAGACCCTAGTCAGCAGGCCCCTGGGAACTAGAGATAAAAGGCCTCACTAGTTAAGAGGCTTCTCAGAGGAAACCTCACCCACGGGTCTGCAGGAAGTCCCAGGAGGCCAGCCCACCAAACTGGGGCCCAAGCCCAGACCCCCAGCATGCAGATAAACGAGAAGGGCCTCCGCCACTTGAAACATGTAGTTCTGAGGCTTGGCAGGAGCCCAGAAGGAATTGCCGGCCCCCAAATCATGATGGGCCCTAGACCCTGGCTGTCTCCTCGGCACCAGTGGGGAGTATTGAGGCTGGCTGTCAGGCCAGGATCTTGCCTTGTCACTGATCAAAGGCAGGTTGGTTTTCCGGTAAATTTGTTCTGTTTCTTTCTCCTCTCTGATCTTTCCTCCTTCCACATGAAGCCTCCAGGGCTGCTGTGTTCTGGAGTGGCCACTTCTCCCATCTTGAAGTCTTTATAAGTCTATGTTTGCAAGAAATTAACAGATGAGGAACATCTCTGCATCCCGGGTCCCTGTGGTCCCAACCCTGATGTGGAGCTGATATTTCAGTTGCCGAGCATGCATTGAGCACCTGCTGTGTGCTCAGCCCTGTGCCATGTTCTGAGGGGACCACTTTTGAGTTGGGAAACTATGTCTGTAGATGGAAGATTCCCAGTGGGGTCATCAGGATAATTATATTCATTGTGTGCCCAGAGTTGGTCCTGAGTGTTGATCAGGCAGGAAGGGGCCTGATACTTGACCTTGCAGAGCCTATAGCCCACTTGGGAGTGAACAAGCTTCCTTACGGCTGCTGTAACAAATGAGCACAGACTCAGTGGCATAGGCACACACACCTATTGCCTAGGGGTTCTGTAGCTCACATGTCCAAAATGAGTCCCATAGGCTAAAATGAAGGTGTCGTTTGGGCTTCATTCCTGCTGGAGGATCTGGGAGAGAATCCGTTTCTTTGTCTTTTCCAGTTTCTAGAGGCACTCTCATTTCCTGGGTGGCGACCCTCCCTCCCTCTTCAGAGCCAGGGACGTGACACTTTCCCATCTCTCTCGCTGCTCTCGCTATCCCTTCTCTGACTCTGGCCTCCCGCCTCCCTCATACAAGTGCCCTTATGATTACACGGGACCCGTCCAGAGAATCAAGACTAGTCTCCCCACCTCAGGAGCCTTCATCACATCTGCAGAGTTCCTTTTGTCAGGTAAGGTAATATAGTTCCAGGTTCTGAGGGTCAGGGCACAGGCACCCTAAGGGGGGCACTATTTTGTCTACCATGAGAGAGACGGGCAGTCTCTAATAAGTACCGTCAGTGACTCGCACGGTCGCTGGAACAGTGGTCAAGCTGCAGTTTTAAATCCCAGTGTTGGGCCTCCCCGGTGGCGCAGCGGTTGAGCGCTGGGTTGCGAAGCTGCCCAAAGCCTCTGCAGCGCCAGTTCGATCCCCTGCTGCTCCCCGGCCACTGGAGGAGGGTCCCGCATGGCGCGCAGACCTCTCCTGCCGCCCGCTGCTCCCCTCAGCAGTGTACTTCCGTCCTTCTGCCTGCTCTGCTCTCCGCTCTGCCTCTGGTGAATTGTCTCACCCTCCCACGCTTCTGATTGTACCCAGTGCTTGTATAAATAAATAAAAAAAAATTAAAATAAAAACAAATAAATAAATAAATCCCGGTGTTGCAGAAGGCCTCGCTGAGAAGACAGCCTTCCACAAAGATCTGGAGGATGGGGTGGGTGGGTCGGGCGGCCAATGCTGAAACAGCATTCAGGTGAGGGGTAGCCAAGAGGCTGAGGGCAGTGGAGCTGGGGAGTCACTGGGGCGTCGTCCCCCTGTTGGCAGAAGAGTTGGTGCTCTTGGCAGAAATGGCATTCCAGGAGAGAGTGACCATGCATGCCATAATGGCATCGTGGCGGGGAGGGGTAGAAGCAGTGGGGTGAGCGGAGCCATCTGGGGGGTGTTTGCTGCTCCCAGAGAGCCCAGGATGCCAGGTGCCAGCAGCAAGCGGCTTCCCTGACGAACCTGGGTTGGACCCGAGTGCAGCTACATGAATGAGACCCAAAAAGCGGCGATGTCCTGCCAGCAAGCCTGTTCTAGCCCTGACTGCTCTTGCAAGCAGAGCTGATCCTCGCGGCAAAACTGCAGGATAGGCTGCAGCTCCGTCCCCATTTTACAGATGAGGAAATGGAGGCACGTCAACAGGCACGACCTTAGAAGTGCTGGGCAGCTTGCAAAGCCCTTGGCCTGATAAGGCCTGCCTCACCACCACCCCTGCGGGGCTCGGCAAACATCTCCAGGATGAAAGAATGGAGGCTGTTCTAGAATCTAGCCTAAGGTGACAGTCAAGCCAGGACTAGGGTAAGGCAAGGAAGGCCCCCGAGATACAGGACTGAAGCGACACTGGCTCTCACGCTGGTTCAAGTGCCCCGGCAGGACTAGCCCTGAGCACTTCCCCATGTTTTGAATTTCTGTCTGTTCATGGGGTGATCAGCACCCACTTTACAGGGCTGATGCGGCACATAAATGCATTCGGGTGTGGGAGGTGCTTCCAGCAGCACCTGGAGCACAGACCAGGTTGATTTGCCAAATGGCCGAGAGTGCTGGTGGCTCCCACCTGGGAAGTCCTGAGGCTGCCCTGGCCGGTAGGTGGGAAACATGTGTCCTCAGGAGGGCATGAGGCTTTCCCAGCCTTCCACAGACATGGAGGCTGGGCTGGGACTCTGTCCAGGGCACCGAAGAGTAGAGCTTGGGTTCCTTCCCTTGGTCCATGGATTGGGGGTACAGCCCTTGCTCCCCCACCACCTCCACTTCCACCTGACCTCAGGCGGGGTCATTCCTCTGTTTCCTTATCTGTAAAATGGGTGTCAAAACAGTCCCTTGTCTTGGGGTTGCTGAGAACAGGGATGGGATAGAAACTGTGTGAAATGCTGAACCCCGTATCAAAGGTGCAGACTGCCATTTATAGTGCTCTTGTGACGTACGTGCAGTGCTTTGCGATTTCTTGTAACTCCCCCAAGAGACACACGACCACATCTCTTCACACGGCCACATGCTCAGCCAGGCCTGTTCAGCAGCATCTTCCCAGGAAGCTTTTATGGGCAGACGGCGTTGGCCAGCCCAATTCCAAACTTGGAGGAGGTAGCAGCCGCCGGCCCCCACCCATCCGCCGGGGCCTTCCCCCCTTTGGCTGGCGTGCAGTCCCCACTGCCCCGCGGCCAGGATACCTCCGGGAGGAGACGGCCCCAGCCTGCAAGGAAGCACTCATTATCCCTGAGTGAGCAGCCACTCCCGGCCACGTCCCCAAGCAGCGGGTGCCCCCTCCTCCTGCCACCGCCTCCATCTGAGCCGCCTGGGCTGCGGACTTCTCAGTTGGAGTCTCTGGGGCCAGATGTTATAGGGCCAGCTAAAACCAGGCGGGCCGGCCGCCGTCGGGGTGGGGGCAGGGTGGGGGCATGTGCTGGGCGCTGACACATGATCCCCGGGACCCGGCTGAGGGGAGCTGAGACAGTCCAGCCAGCGTGCACACGTCTGCTCCCCACTTACAGCACCTCTTCTCCGGACATCTGGGAGGAAATGCCTCTTGCCAGCCGTGGGATGGGCAGCGGCCGGAGGAAGGTCATCTGGGCTCTGTACTTCCTGCTGCTTCTCCTCGAAGCCAGTTCTGCCAAGAATGTTTGGAAGCGGGCACTGCACTCGAGGCTGGCCGAGAAATCCCACGTAAGTGTCTGGGTGGGGAGCCGGGGGCAGACAGGCAGTGGGTCTGGGCGCTGTGAAGTTCTGTGAGCGCTCCCAGCACACAGGGCAGGTGGATTTCCTCATGGGGAGTCAGTGGGTGGGTGGGACAGATGGGTCTTGCGGTGCTTTGCCTGCGAGTGAAGAGGCACAGGGGGCCAACTGCATGCAGGGCGGCTGTGCCTCTTGCATCACCAGAGTGGACCGCAGGTGGAGTCCACAGACTTACCACAAGTGTTTTGTCTCCACTATCAATAGCCAAATATTTATGAAATGTAATCAGGCACTCATGTAGCTATTCATTCAGTAAACATTCAGCAGAAGCCTCTCTGGGCCAGGCGCTGTGGGAACAAGATAGAAACACAGCGCCTCCCCCTGAAGGTGGCATGGTCCCGTGGGAGAGGCAGCTGGGTGACAAGTGGCAGCACAGACGCATGGGCAGTATTGCATAGCCAGTGGTGAAGAGCTTGCGCCTGGAGTCAGGCATCTGGGTTTGAATCCAGACGCTCCTGCCCCTCTGCTGTGTGACTCCAGGCAAGTGGCTGGACATCTCTGCACACCAGTGATCACATCCAAAAAAGAGAGATGAGTTCCTTTCAACAAAGGTGTTTGCTCATCACTGTTTGCCAAGCACCATCCTGGGCTGTGGGGATACAGACATCAGACGCCTGTCTTGGGGAGCTCACCTTACTCCTGTGACCTGGGGATGGCTGAGAGTAAGTGAGAAATATTTGGGAAACTGTTTAGTGGCATGTGCCGGCGAGAAGTAAAGCAGAAGGGGTCTAGCGGAGGGGGTAGGGATAGGGGAGGTCTCCGGCCGGGACCGCAGGCAGAGAGGGTGCAGGAGGAAGCACTGAGCACCGTGTGAAGTTAAAGGACTCCAAATGCAGAAAGCACATAGTGCAGACAGGTGGTCAGTGCATCTTGGTGACTTTTAATTAAATCATTGTGAGATGGGTTGGTGCTGGCCTCCCTGGGTAGAATGTGGGTTCCTCAGCATGGGGTCTGATTTGGTCTCATTCAGCGCAGCGTTCCTGGTGCCTGCCATTAAGTCTGTGTCCAGGACATTCTTAGCGGCAAACAATGGGAGGCCAGAATGAGAGCAGCTCTGCCCCAGGAGAGTCAGAGAGGGTTTTCCAGGGCTTCAGACGTTCATCCTGGAGCTTTGACCAATCTATAGGAGTTTTCCAGATGGAGAGGGAAGAAAAGAATGTTTAATGACACCCCCTACACATACCCTACTCAGGGGGCTGTGTAAAACTGCATGGAGGCTTATATGTGAACCTCCCAGGCTCACATTCTAGTAGGGCAGCTGCTCACGTGAAGAGACAGGAGGCCATGTGGGACTGGAAAAAAGCAATAGAGTGAAATGATGGTAGGTGTTTGGAGGAGGGAGCGTTCACGTGACAGTGTAGTCACAGAGGGCTTCCTGGAGGAGGTGAGGACCCTTGACAGGTCATGAAGAGCAATTAAGAATTAGGAGGAGGGGGCCTCCCTGGTGGCTCAGGCGGTTGAGCGCTGCGTTGTGAAGCTGTCTGCAGCCTCTGCAGTGCTGGTTCAATTCTCACTGGCTGTGGAGCAACCCACATGGCGGGGCAGACCTCTCCTGCCTCGCCTGCTGCTCCCCTCAGCAATGTGTTTCAGTCAGTCTGCCTGTTCTGTTCCCCGCTCTGTCTCTGGTGAATCCTCTCACCCTCCTGCGCATCTGGCCTGTACCCCGGTTCTTGTATAAATAAATAATAAAATCTTAAAAAAAAATAATTAGGAGGAGGGATGGCATTCTTAGAAGAAGACTTGGTGGGTGATGAGGCCCCAAGGTGGGAGTGATATGTGCCAGAAACCTCAGAGGGGGCTGATGTATGCCAGGAAGGAGGAGACCCTCTTGGGTGTGACTCCTCCATGCTCTACACCAGCTCCGCAGGATGTTCAGTTCTTTGGCTCTAGCACTCCAAAGAGATTTCCAGTCCAGCATCTGGTCTTGTCTCCCCCTGACTCCTAAGAGTCCTAAAAAAAGAAGCTGTGACTTCCTCACTAAGAGGAATGGGTTAGCTGGGAGGGTTGGGGGCCGTGTGCACGTGGGCTGGGGGATCTTTAAAAACACAGGCCTGGGGGTGTAGTACAGAAACTGGATTAGTTCTGGCAAACTTTTGTCAGAATGCAGGTGCTCCGGGTCTGCCCCTTGCTGAAGTCTCCAGTTATCAGTGACCTCTCGTCCTCCCCAGCACCCATTCTCAGGAGAGGCTTGTGCCAGAACAAGCCTTGGAGAAAGCCCACGGAGAGAAAGGGGTAGGGAGACTGGGTAGGGCTCCGGGCCAAGGATCACAACGCAGTCAGCTGTGCAACCTTGGGCCGCTCTCTGGACCTCAGGTGGTGAGCTGGCCATGAGGCTGAGACCAGATGACCTCCAGTGCCCTTGCAGCTGTGATTCTAATTCCATGCAGATGCCCAGCAGGGAATGGCAGAGTCACAGGAAGCAGCCCCCACACACTCAGAGACAAGACCTTCCCGTGTGGCTCCCAACACACCCTTCAACCTGGGCCCAGGACCCTTGGGAGCTGTGGTGAGGGCGAGGGTACAGCAGCTGCCTCTACCACCTTGCACAGTTAAGCTGACCCTTATTAGAAATTAAATCATATTAACTTAGAGCTCAATAATTTACATTTAAAAATTAGAAATGCATCACTTCCTAATTATGTTGTTATATCTTACTGTTCTCTCTGCTCTTGAGGTCATGTCTCTGGTATCTGTGTTATGGCATTGCAACGAGTAAGGATCCCCTTGCAGAGTGAGTGCCTGCCAGTAAGTGGGCACCCAGTATGTTCCTGTGGGTGAATTATGGGCAAATGTATGGAAACCCAGAAAAACGTGTGCAGTGCTGTCCCAGGAGAGTTGGGGAAGGTTTGCTGGTGTTGTGGACATTGAACCTAGGGCTTTGAAGTATGAACTGGAGTGGAGCCAGGCTAGTTTCCTAATGCTGCGTACATTTTACTGCCTGAGGACTAGGAAACACGGGAGACAAACTTGGTTTTATAGTCCCACGAAGGCCTATTGGAGGCTGCCAGGAAGAGGCTTCTCCTTTCTGAGCCTGTTTCCTCATCCACAGCCTGGGAAACAGCAGTGTCTGCTTTGCAGTCCAATGAAAAGATCTTCAGCCCCGTGCCTGGTGCAGAGCCACCCGCGCTACATATGTGCCATTCAAAACAAAACAAAAACAGAACCAAATATTTGCAAGGCTGGACAGGACAAGCAGAGTGTCTGCAAATAGCCCGTAGGCTTTCGGGAGGAGCAGGCGTCCTTGACTCCACCTTCCTCGCACTTGCTGTCCCCTAAGCACTCTTCTTCACAGAGCATTACTGCGCCCCAGGGCAGGTGTTTGCCATGCACTGAGGCTCAGGAAACTCTTGACAAGTTTACCCATTGGGGTGGGGCCAATGCCTGGAGACCGGGACATCTGAAGGTTCCTATGTGTCACTGTGGCTCTGGGTCTGCTTTGTCCTCTCAGCTCCCATCCGGGGCAGCTGGGAGTGGTCATGCACTTTGCCCTCTGCCCAGAGCGCCGGCCCAGCCAGGGGGCTGCAGCAGCGGGGAACAGGGTGCCTTCTTGCACTGCACCCTGCCAGGTGGGCACCCTTTGCAAATAGTCCCCCCACCTTATGCTGCTGGGCACAAAGGCCTAGCAGGAGCCGTCCTGTGCACCACCTGCTCCTCTGTCTCCCCACCCTGGTTCTCTATTCCTCCATTACTTCTGGGAGCTCAAGAACCTTCTAAGGCATCTCTTGCATATTTCGCTAAGACCTAAGAGTAGGCACGGTACGTACACCAGAGCTCTGCCTCCTGCCCTTCTGCGCGACACTCCTGAGTGGGCTTCCCCTACTCTTTGAAACTTATGAGATGACACCCCCGTGGGGTCCATCATCAGAGCCACCAAGTTGCATCCCCTGTGAGCAGAGGTCGCTCCCTGGGCCCCGGGGGCCCTACCTAGAGGCTGGGAGAGGGGAGTGGCCTGCTATGAGAAGCCACCCCCAGGCTTGGCCACACCCCTGTGTCTAGCACAGCGACATTTGAGGAACAGGGAACGAGCTGGCTGGCTGAGAGCGGGTGGAAGGAAGGCAAAGTAGAGCACGGGCGTGGGGTCACCTGGGACACAAAGCTGTCTCCCCTCGGGGCCTGCCTTCTCATCTGAGGCTCAGTGCCGCAGTGACTGCATGGTGGAAACGAGCAGAGGCGGCGCGGGCGCATCCCCATGTGCTTACCATCTGGGAGCTGCAGCAAGGGGTGGGGCACGGCAGCGGGAAGCTTCCCAAAGGCTCACGCAGCACCACTCACGAAGGCAGAGGTGGGGCCGCCCAGTGTCTGTGAGCTCAGAATGGAGAGACACGGGCCATCCCCACAGTGACTCCTGTGGTCACAAAAAGGCCGGGGGTCCTGCCCTTGCTGCAGTGTGGCCGGACCTGCGAACTTGTTGCCGAGCAGCAGCACCAAAAGGCACATTTCACAGGCTATTTGTATGAAACAAATTAGCAAGAGGCCAGATCCACGGAGCCGGGAAGCGGCCAGCCGTTGCCAGCCTGGCGGGAGTGGACAGGGAGGACCTGCTTGATGAGGACAGTGTTTGTGTTCGCGTGACGTAGCGTCTTGGAAGGAGATGAGGTGCTGCGCTGCAGTACTGTGAAGTGGTCAGCGCCCCTGAGCCGTCCGTGTGGGTTATTAAGAAGGGCACATTTTACCTTATATTATATTTTACCACAATGATAGAAAAGATACTGGGAACCCAAGGAACTTCTGTGAAGGTGGGGGGAGTGGATGGTGGTCCCCACTGTGTCCCCAGCGCCCCCAAGGTGCTCCCTGGTGCTCCAGGTCATGCTTCCTGTAAGCTTCAAGGTCTCCCCTCTCCCCTCAGGGCATCTAGATTTCCATTAGACATCTCATAACATCCTGCCTTTTTCTTCACAGCATTTAGCTCTGTCATTATAACTATCCACACATTTGCTTTTCTTTTACTGTGGCTTTGGTTAGTTTTTCTTTAACTACTTTTGCAGATGAGTCCTCAAAATCACTCATTCACTGTATTTGTGTGATGTTTGGTTTAGTATTCATCACTGTTCAAAGTTGAGCTATGGATTACTATTAAATGAATGAATAAATTACACTAGGTCAGACTAGGAGGGATGGAAAGTTCCAGAAGACTCTCAGGTGCACAGAGGTGCTTGGGGGATGATAGTTGAAGGAACTGATAGAGTTTGGGGTCTTGTTTGTGCCCTGTGATGGGGTTGCCTGGACGTGAGATCCCGGGGTTTTGAGTAACTCTCCGAGGAAGCCTCATTAGACTGCACCCAATTCTGCTGCCAGAGGCCAGGCTGAGGTCCCAGGGCATCAGGAAATGGATTTCTGAACTCTGAGCTCTGTGTTCCAAGGAGAGACATATTTTTAGAACTTTGACGTCCACATTCCAGAGGAAGAATTAGCAATGCTTAGAGGAAAATTGGCTTTCTTCCTGCACCAAGCCAACCAGTCCTGGGATGCATTTTTATTGGTCTGGCCATTGACTCTCTGGAACATTCCAAAGAAGGGTAAAGCTCTTCAGGGGAGTGAAGGGTCTCGGGAGTGCTGAGGAGGGACGAGGTAAATTGGGGCAGCTTTGGAGACTGGATTCTTTCTCCTTAAATGGAAATGGTTTAAATTTCTTTCCCTGATCATAAAAATAATGATGTTTACAGTAAAAGAAACTGAGACAGTCCAGAAGTTATAAATAAGTAAAAGGATGTAAATTCTTCCTCCAAGACACAGGTCTGTTTACGTTTTGGTGTATCTAAATTCTTCTGTGGTGTAGTTAAGCACAGCATACATTTTTTAATTTTAATTTTATTCATATTGGTTTAAATTTTTGTTTTGAGATGAAAATCACATGACGTCAAAATCATTTCAAAGCGTACAATTCAGTGTCATTTGGTTCACTTGCAATGTGGTGTGCGCTGCACCTCTGTCTAGTTCCAGAATATTTTCATCAACCCAAAAGGCAACCCCGCCTCTATTAGCAGTCTCTCCCCATGCCCCCTCCCAGGCCTGGTGCACCCTGGGCATTCGTAATAATGGGATCAGACAATGTGTGTGTGGTTGCTTTGTGCTGCTTTGTACCTTGCTTTTCTTCATCCAGCAGTATATGATGAATTCATCTGTCTGCCATATGGCTGGGTGGTAGATCTCAATCCTCTCTCCAGAGACTTCTGTGATGACCCGGGGCCATTATTTACCAAGCCAGCCTGCCTTGACTGGCATCCAGTGTCTGCTTCCCTGGGATCTGACTTGGGCTTGCAGGCGTGGACTTTCCACTGAAGGGGCCCAGAACTGGCCTGTCCCTGGCTGCTTCCTGAGATGTCACAGCAGAAGGCGGTGTAAATCTTCCGAGGCCTCCAAAAGTATTTATCTGAAGAATGAGAGAAAATAGCTACCAGGGAGTAGCTAGTGCCACAGAAGGCACGCAGACTGGGGACCCATCCGATCGGCACCCGGGATGCCTGTCAAAGCAAGTAGACTTCCCACGGAGGCCTGAGCAGGAAGGAAGATAAAAGATGGACATAGTGGTTATGCTGGGATTTTCATGAAGGATGTTGTCTGTCTCGTTTCTCAGGGATTTGGGGTGCTATCCTCATCAATGTACAGAGGCTCAGGGTCCAGGGGGTGAGGGTCGACGCAGCTTCAAGGTCAGAAAGGTAGAGAGAGATGGGAGTGAGGTCAGAGAAAGCTTTGACCTGTGACCCTCTCACCTGGTGGGCTGGGAAGCCATTGGCTGGGAGTCTATTTGTTTTTTTGTTTTTTTTTTTTTTAGTAAAAGTCACTTTCCTTTCAAAACTCCAGGGAACATCCTGTGTTTAAACCCTCTTGGAACATCCCCTTGCATGACATAAAATATTTCTCAAAATATTGAATCCTTTAATCTGGGTCCCTGGGCGAAACCAGTTCTTTATCACCCACGACCATCTGGTGTTTCCACTCCCCGTAAATAACTTGGGAGATTGGACTTCTAAGGCGCTTATCTCTTCTGTTCTCTCCAAATTCTAAGAAATGACATTTGAATATTCCTGGCAGAGCAACCTCATATTTAAATTGGTCTCGCTCCATGCCCCCCTGCTGGGGGCGTCACTGGGAAGTCAGCAGAGGTGGGTGAAAAGTGATTCATGGCTGATCTCCCAGTTCCATTAAATTTCATAAATGAGACGATGTAAAAGCAGGCTGGGTGGGAAAATCAACGGTGCCCTCCATGGAGGCCGGGCCAGCTGCCGCATTTGATCAGGATTAAAACGGTGCGGACCCCACAGGGGTCCAGTGTCATTAATTCTGAAGAAAATGAACTAAGAGCTAGTGGTGGGAGATTATGTCCCCTGCTAGCAGCTTGGAAATTATTCATAAATGTACTGGGCTGAGGAGGAGATGGTGAAAAGGCTGAAGCAGGAGTTGGACCAGAAGACCGAGTTCTGGTCTCACCCCTCTGGGGGAGAATAGGCGGTCATTTTCTTATCTGCCAAATGTTGATTTGTGTTCGTTTGCTTTTCACAGATTAAATCATATATAAGATACATATCTAATATGTATGTATTATATATAAATATGTAAGGATATATTTATGTTTATACTTATATTTTAATATAGGGGAGAAATGATAAATTCTCCAGGATATTGCCAGGATGGGCGCCCCACCTTTCTTAGTCACTGCTTTCACCACCCCAGCCCCTCTGCCTTGGTCTCTCTGGGGGACTGGATTCCAACTGGCAATGAGCCAGGTGTAGCCGGTGCTCGCCTGGTGAGCAGACGCCCCCTGCAGGGCATTGGGAGCACCGCCAGAGCCACGGTCAAGCATCCTTGACTCTTACTCATGGCAGACCAGACCCCATGGGCCCATTTATGTCTTGCCTTTTTATTTTAATAACTCAAGGTTGTATCAGAAATATGTTTCCTGTCTTTCAAAATTCTTCATAAGCACTTCTACTGTTTTTACAATTTTTCATGGCCTTTAAATGGAAAAAATACATGTGCATGGTTTAAAAAAAAATGTTAATCGGTGTAAAAGTATATACTATCATGAGGAGAAATCTCCCTTGGCTTCAAAACTGAATACTTCTCTCCCAAGGAAATCATGGGTACGTTTCTTGTGCGTGCTTATGCATCCTCCCAAAAGTCTCTAATCCCCTGCAAACAAATGCCTCTTACGGTGTGTGTATGTGTATGTTTTGGAACATTTGGGGCCCAGCACACTGTTCTGCACCTGCACTTCCTACCGGGCCAGTGCACCTGTGCTCTGCCCAAAGCAGCAGCACGTCAGGTCTTATTTCATGTTTTGGTTCACACACCGGGGGAGGTGGTAAGGGCTGCAGACACTACATGGGGGCAGGATTTAGAAATATGTACTCGTGTTCAGGGCAACTGTGCTGGGGGCTAAATAGGTCAAGTTTTAGGTGAACCTCCACAAAGTGACCACAGTGTAGCCAGCACCTGGACCCAGAAGCAGCCCCTGAGACCAGGGCCAGCCCCCAAGACCCCTGTCCCTCCCACTCACTGCCCATCAGGTGACTCACTGCTGTCCTGACTTCACACTCCAGGTAGCAGCTGTGCCTGTTTCCAAACTAAAAATGCAAATGGCATCAGGTTGTGTCCCCTTGTGAGTTGGCTTGTTGTCTGTTCCATATGGTGTTTGTGAGATTTGTTCAAGTTGTGTGAATTTATCCATTCTATTTGAGACTTATAAAATCCCAAAGCTTTATATAAACATATGGATGATAAGAAACAAATATGTTTATAGGAATGTCTGTGCATGCATATACGTGTGTTTGTATAGACACTCAGATACCCTGTCATATATGCTTGTACATATACACTTGTCTATGGCAGCGACACTACCGAACAAACTTTCCTTCAGAGTCATAGATCCTTTTTGCCTCTCATGGCTTTTCATTCCTTGCATTTGGAGGCTGTTACAAACAGAAACAGCATCTTTTGATCCTCAGAGCAACCCACTGAGGCTGGTTCGGCTGTGGTCATGACAGGACCAGAGGCCTACACAGGCCCAGCAATTTGCCCCCAGCACACAGTTCAGGGGTGAGAACTCCAGACCCACAGGCTGCAGCCGCACCCAGCTCACGTGCCCTTTTCCTGCAGGCCGAGGAAGTGGGCGCTCCCCGGCAGCCCCATGCTGATCGCTGCCCTCCGCCTCCTCGATCGCTGCCCCCCGGTGCTTGCCAGGCCGTGCGCTGCCATGCCGACTTGGAGTGCCCCCAGCACCGGCGCTGCTGCTACAACGGGTGCACCTATGCCTGCCTGGAGGCTGTGCTGCCCCCCCCAGGTAGGTGCCCCCGGGGCTTGGGGAGATGGAGGTGGGCAGCAGGCACCACAAGTGAACTTCCTGCTCTGCCCGTAAGTGCCCAAGATGAAGAAACAGAGCTGAGCTGAAACTGAGGGTGCTCTGGGTGGGGTGCCTGGGCGGGAACCCCTGGGCAGGCCACATGTAAAATGGGAATTTAGGTCACCAGCATGTCCCTGTGCTGAGTGCCCCCTGCTGACGCAGCACTTCACTGTCTCCCCATTCCTGGACGTGACTCCTCCTCTGAGGATGGAGGTTTCTCATAGAAAATCCATTTATGACTTTATTTATAAATGGACCACCACACTCCCAGGACCAATACTCATTGCAGCTTCAGGTGCCCCCAGATGCCCAGACTCCTTCAGTTTCCCACCCACCTGGCTCCCTTCGCTCATGATGCCTGGCCCTGGGGGTACCGGCTCTCTAGAGACCCAGAGAGGGTGCGGCAGCAGGTCAGAGCCACGCAGACTCCTAGTCAATCCACTGGCTGCCTCACATCCTTGTACCTGTAAAGCCCACTGCAGTGAGAAAACAGGCCCTTCCTGTAAGTCCTCAGAAGGAGCCAGCTCCCTCCTGGAGAGAGGGGAGGGAAGGGGCAGTGGGGAAAACGGAGGGGGATGGGCATCTACCTTCCCTGGGGTGGGGCGCATGTCAGTAAAGTCTCCTCCACTCTCAGTTCTGCTTGGGGCTGAATTTTTAGAAACCGCAGTCTGATGGACTGTGCCTCCCCAAGGAGGCTGCAGGGACCCTTGGGCTTTCGTAACTGCAGGTGCTCTGACAAGACAGCCCGGGTCCTCCACCCAGGTGGAGGCAAGAATGACTACACTTTGTTTTCTTTGGTCATGTGATGACAAAGGACTCAGGGTCCTTAAATAATGCTCATTAACTGTGCTGCGCTCAGCCTCTTGGCCGGGCAGAGTCCCACCAGCCCCTTTATAAGAAGAACAAAATGCGCCCCCTCCTGGTGAAAAAGCACATAAAGGTGTTTCCCTCAGGGCAGGCACTTCAAAAAAGGTGTCCCTTCCTTTGGCCTTTGTCTGGGCTTAGGAATTCCAGACTCAGCTATGGAGGGCAGGGCTTGCACATTGATACACACACACACACACACAGAGTTAGATATACCTAGCCATGTGCTTTTGAGCAGTGTGTACATTGTACAACTATCCACAGCATTCCTAACAGCCTTTCCGTAGACCATCTCCTTTAATGCTCACACAGCCCCATGGGGCGGAGAGACTGTGATCTGTCCTGTTTTAGAGCTGAAGACACAGAGGCTTCAAGACGATAACTCGCTTGCTCACAATCACACTGTGGGAGTTTCAATGCAGTCTTCTGACTGTGGAGAAGTGCCTATTGCCTAAGGCCCTGAGTGCAGGGATGTTGGGGCCCTGGGGCTATTTGTAGGATCCCTCGCTGCCCAGAACATCCTCCCCCCAGACACCCACAAACTCATTTCCTTACCCCCAGATCTCTGGTGAGCAGGTGACTTGAGCTGTACCAGGCTCCATCGTGAGTGCTGATCCATGTCATAAGCTTCATTTGGGTCCCCTCCACAGAGAACCTGAGACAAGGACTTGGGTGCAGGGAGTTTTTTTTAGCAGGGCCTGAGAAAATTTGAGTGAGGGAGCAGACAAGTGAGGCCTTGGGTCTCCAGGCCTCTAGCAGCCTGCAAGTCGATGGGGGGACCTGGGGCACATTTCAGTATTACAATGTAGTGAAAGATATGTGTTTTATTTCCTGCTGCTCAGAAACCTTTGGTCAATGCAGAGAAGGATGGAAATAGCCAATATTCGTACATTTCCTCTTTGGTAAAAAAACAGCACGGACAGCATTTTCTCACCCACAGTTCAAGGTGATGGGGAGGAGAAGGGAAGACTCAGAAGACTGGGAATAGTGGCTGCAGAACCTGGTCATGTCACCTCTTGAGTTGGAAGCTGCTAACTGCTGCCTCACTTCTTTGCTGTTTCAGTTTGAGGCCCGAGCCACCAGCTTATCATGGCCTTGTCCTCTGTGAAAGCCAGACCCAGCCAGCATTTTTACCAGTACCCACCTATGCACTCATGGTAGACAGCACATCTCCCTCTTTATTTTTGTCATGTTTTGGAATCAAACTAAAGCACAGATCATACGTAATATGATCCCAGACCACTTTTATTTGATCTCCAAAGTGCTTAAAATTTAAAACATTAATTGCCAACATTGCAAACCCAGTAATTGATTTTTTTTTTAAATATAGAAGTAAAAATTTTTTAAGCACCCAGAGGCTCTGGGACCAGTGGGCATGGTTGACCAGGACTGATCACCAGGTGGCCCATGCAGGCAGGAACACTCTCCTACCTGGCCAGCTTTTCTCAGCTACCTTACCTAGGAGGCATTTGGACTTTTGGCCTCTGTTTTCATTTTTTGAAGACCCTGCTGCCCATTGCATAGGTCACTCTTCCTGCTAAATGTGCATTGGTTAGCAAACATACTTACACAAATAACAAAAAGATCCACCAACCCAGGGGCTCAATCTCTCAGGCATTTACTTCTCTTGTGGTTACTAGGCCAGAGGAGACAGGTGGTGGATGGCACAGTCATCAGAGACCCGTTTTTACCCCATCTTGTTACTCTGCCTGGTCCAAGTGGCTCCCACCTGCAAGAAGAGAAACAAGGGGGGAGAGCAAATAGGCATGGCTGCCAGAGTCAGACAGGAAACTGCAGCCTCACTGCTGCTCATACCCCAATGGCCAGAATGAGATCACATGGTCATACCTTGCTGCAGGGGAGGCTGGGAAATGTAGTCTTTAGCTTGGCCACTCAGCATCCAGCTGAAACTCAGAGGTTCTATTACCAGAAGGAAGGGGTACATGTCTGCTGGAAAACCATAGCCATTCCTGTTGCAGAGACCTCCATGTTTGTTGTGAAATATAAGCTCGCCCACCCCCAGGGATAGCCTGAAGGGGCTGGATCTAACCCTGGATGGTTTAGTTTTAGACTGGCTGGTGCAGCCGAAACCTCGATGGCTGGGTGGCAATGGCTGGCTCCTGGATGGCCCCGAGGAGACACTTCAAGGTACTATCCAAATCCGTTCTGAGCCAGGATCCCTCTTCTCTGCATTTAGCACATCAATGATACCCAGGGCTGTGTCTGCCCCAGGAGGCTGCCTTTCCCCAAATTCTCAGCCCTCTGGCTCCTCCCAGCCTTAACACATAAGGGGGAAGCCAGGCCCTCAGCATCCCTCAAACATAACAGAACTGTTGTCCTGGGAATGGGGTCTCCTTCCTGGGTGGAGACATGAAAGGGAGGGTGCTTGTGGCTGGTTTTCACAACTCTAAAATCATAATAAGGGGTTCACTGCACCCTAATGCTGAGGCCTCCGGGGGTGAGCAGTTTCTGAGAGAATGACAGGTCCAGGGGCCTGGAGAATTGCAGGGGTGTGAGTGAGTACATTGAGTGTGTGCAGCTGTGCTTGCAACTCTGTGGGCATGTGTGATCCTGCTCTGGCTGTTGGGGTGTGCAGCGATGATGCACAGGGGAGGCTGGGAAATATAGTCTGCAGCTTGGCCACTCAGCATCCAACTGAAACTCAGAGGCTCTATTACCAGAAGGAAGGGGTTTAGCTGTGTGGGTGTAGCTGTGGCTGTGTGTTGTAATTTCTGTGTGTCTGTGTGCATGCACACAAATGTGTGTATGCTAGCATCTGTGGGCTGTGAAATGTGTGTGTCAGGATTTGTGCACAACACAACTGGCCATGTGTCTGTGTGTACAGGATTTGTGTGTGGGTGAACATGTCGTGTGACATGCACATGTGGTGTCAGGGCTTGTTTGTGAAGCTGTGTTCATAAGCGTGATGGTGTGTGCCTGTGTGTTTCAAGATGCGTGGGTGACCGTGCATGTGCATGCCTGTGTGTGTGAGGGGGTATTTGGGAGTAGGCGACTTTGGACTGTGTGTGCCCATGTGTGTGGACAGCATTCCACTGTGAGTAAGACCCAAGGAACTAGGGGTGCAGATGAGAGGCAGCCCCTCTGGGTAAGGTGCATTCTCTGAGGATGGCATGGGTGACCCTGGCTGTGTCCCTCCCCCAGCAGAGGCATGCAGCACTACAGAGGATGGGGCGGAGCCACTCCTCTGTCCCACAGGCTATGAGTGTCTCATCCTGAGCCCTGGTGACGTGGCCAAGGGCATCCCCAACCGCGGGCAGTGTGTCAGGCAGCGCCAGCAGGCAGGTGAGTGTGGGCTTCCGGCCCTGGCCCTGGCCTCTTCCCTGGCCCACTCTCCCTGACCACCACCTTGAAAACCCTCACCCTTGGAGAAAGCCACAGCCCCTGAGCCTGGCCGAGAGCCCCTCCTACCCCCACCCCTGCCACTGCCCTGCATCTCCATTCCAGTCCTCACTTTGGCTCCATCTTGCTGCGATGACAGAAACCCCAGCCCTTCCCCTCCCACTGGTGGGCCATCCTTGGGATCAGTTGCTTCAAATCTGAGTCACTTTGGGGCTTCCAAAGGGTTCATTTAAATCATACATGTGAAGCTCTCAGAGCAGAATCAAGCAACCACAGTGCTTGATAAACAGGACATTTTATATCCATCTGTATGTCTGTGTAAAATGGTGAAGAAAGGGCCTCCCTGGTGGCGCAAGGGGTTAAGCACAGCACTATGAAGCAATCCATAGCCTCTGCAGCACGAGTTCGATCCCCGGCCTGCCAGGGAGCAACCCACATGGCGCAACGGACCTCTTCTGTCTTGCCTGCTGCTCCCCTCAGCAGTGTATTTCAGTCAGTCTGCCTGTTCTGTTCCCCACTCTATCTCTGGTGAATCCTCTCACCCCCCACACCTCTGGCCTGTACCCCAGCTCTTATATAAAAATAAATAAATCTTAAAAAAACCCCACAAAACCTATATATGAGAAAGAAAATAAATAAATAAATAAAATGGTGACAAATCTGAATTGTCAGAGAATCCTCAATTTCTCAGGACCATCATGAACACGTGTAATGACATTTGTCCAACAACAGGCCAAATGCTACTGACATTTCATCTGTGAAGACACTGGTTCTCAAATGTTTTCAGGCTCAGAACCCCTTTACACTCAAAAAATGTTGAGGATGCCAGAAAGCTCTCCTCCGGGGCTTGTGGCTATTATGCTTACCATGCTTGAGACTAAAGCTGAGGCATTAAAAATATTAATGAAAAACAGCAAGGATAAACTCACATAGCAAATAGATGACATTTTTCTTAAAAGTAACTCCATTTCCCAACACACACACAAACGTGAGAAGAGCGGCATTGTTTTACATTTTTTGCAATTCTAGTATGAGAACTGGATCCTCACATCTGCTTCTGCATTTGGTCGACTGCAGCATCACGTGTCATGCACCCTCTGGAAAATTCCACTGCAAACTCGTGAGGATGAGAGTGAAAAATGAAATAACTCCTTGATATTATTAACTTCTCTTCCTTGTTTTCCAGATGGGCGATTCCTACAGCACAAATTTTTCAAGGAATATCCGGGTAAGAGAAGAAACCATTCTTTCTTTGCAGAGTACTAAAAAGGGCAAAGATACAGACAACAAGCAGGTAGTTCTAATGCTAATAAAGCAGAAGTGGTTATTTTGTGGTAATAGTGAAGGCTGATCAAGGTCACCTTCAGGACACCTTGACTATCGCATTAAGGAAGCCTTCCCAGTGGAGAACCATTTAAGCCCAATCTGAAGAGTCAGGGACTGGGGCAGAGACACAGCAAGTGTACAGCTCTGAGGCAGGAGCGCACTGCCACCACCGCAGCACAGTGTCTGCAGAGCAGGGGAGAGTGTGCGGACATGAGCCAGGAGTGCAGTCCTGGCCAGACTGCAGGCTGCGAGGCACGGCAAGGAGGAGCCGGCAGTGGGCGTGGGGTGACCTACTTGGGGGAGGAGGCGGCCAGGGGCCAGGTCTGGACTGGCGAGCCTGGAGTGGGAGCTGGCACACCTGCCTGACCGAGCCCGTCCTTTTGCAGAGGGTGACTCCAAGAACGTGGCAGAACACGGAAAAGGACCGCAGAGGTGGTCTCGGTAAAGAGAGGACCGCCAGATCGGCAGGAGGCGTGATGTGCCCGCGTGGGGGTAGGTTCGGGAGAGGAAGGGCAGGGCTTTTATCATGGGCAAGACGGGTAGGTCGCCTCGTTCCCTGGAGACTATGTGAGAAATGTATGTGAGCAGAAGTGGGAAGTTTCTAGACCTCTCCATTCACACCGAAACACTGGGCTGTGTTGTGGTTTCCCTTCTATCTGTCCTGTCACTTGGTCTCAGAGCTTCTGCACACACGTCCTCCACGTCTGTGAGGTCTGTCCCTTCCACTGACAGCACCCGGAGTGCCAGGTCTCTGACAGGCAGGGCCAGACTCAGCTGCGTCTCCAGCCACCTGTGGTGTGCGGGGGTAGAGTGGGGGTGAAACGGTGAACAATAAGAGTTCCTGCTCCCTTCCCCACCCTCCCGCCCCCCACCCCCACTGCCACCCCAGGGTGGACATCTGAGTAGGAGACTCAGCAGGTCAACAAGTGAACCCACAGGAAAGTGACCGACTGACGCAGCTGTCGTGAAGGAGCAGGACGGGTGGGCAAAGGAAGTAGCAGGTGGGCAGGGAGCTGCTTCAGAGGGCTCAGGAAAGTGGCTGTGGAGGTGACGGCGGAACTAGGGCCCACAGTGAGACAGGCTTGTCGTGGAAGACCAGGCAGGAGCAGCCAGAAGAGCAAAATCTAGAGGCAGGAAAGATTGCTTTTGAGGAGCTACGGGGAGGCACCGACGAAGGAGGGGAGGCGGCACGAGATAACCAGGAGGCTCTGCGGTCAGACTCTCCAGCAGGCCAAGGTGCAGGGAGATGCAAAGGGCCGTGGACAGGAGCCACTGAGGAGTCTCAACTGGGCAAACCTGGGTGCTCACCTGCCCTGTGCCAGCCGCCGTCTCTGCGTAGTAACAGAAACCGGCAAGAGCAGGTGACTGCCGCCCTCAGGCAAAGCTCAGGTTTCAGATGCCAGGTTATTCAGGTGGCGCCCTCCAGAAGACCGAGAGCCCGTGGGGCTCGACGCCAGAGTGTCTATTACCTGCTGATGACAGCGCGGGCCTTGGCGAGGGGCTGACCCCGAGGACTGGGAAGCTGCCCTGGACACTCTGGCCCTGGGGAGGAGAGCGCTTCGAGGGTGACCTCAGGGCAGTCAGGTCCGGCTTAAAGTGCTGCTCTGCCACCCCCATGTGGCCTCAGGCAAATGCCTTCACCTCCCCAAGCCTCAGTTTCTCATCTATGAAATGGAAATGGTGAAGGGTATGTAGGATCATGTGCCCGTGAAGACTTGAAGTCAGTTAAGAATTTACTCTGCTGTTTCGTAGGGGAGGAGAGGGGGGGTGACACCTCTGTGACCCCATGTTCTGCCCCAGCATCAGCTGGGCTCACATTCATTCCATCTTTGATTCCTTTCTAGCCACTCTGAAAGAACATCCCTTCTTTTTCTGCTAAGCCTTGGAAACAGCCGGGTAAAATGATTTGACCCCCACATGCCCAGCTCAGCAGAGCAGGACCCCAGAGGTACTTAGAGACAGGACACCTGATTCTTAATCCCAGCATCGCCCCACCTGACAGGGGCTTTGTGGGAGACACTAACCGGCGCGCGGTCCCTGTTTAACATCCTGAAAGCCCCATTTGGCCCTGAAGCTCCACTTCTAAATCTTACCTGGAAGAAGGCACCGCCTATGTCAGCTGAGGAAACTCCTTTCTGCGACAGAGTTCAATGTTTTGGTTATTTACAGATTTCTCTAGATCTGACTGTGGGAGGCCTATCCCAAATGTCTTCAAAATAAATTTATTACTCACAAAGTAGAAATAAAACCCACTCATGCCTGCTTCACCATTTTAACCAGTGGATGATTTTCTGATTCTTTTCTGTTACTTGCGTGGCACAGAGTATGACCCTCACAAGACCTGATAAAGAGAGTATGACATCCTCCTTTTGCAGTTGTGGAAATTCAGCCTCAGGGAGGTTAGGAAAGCTACGAGGAATCACCCAGCAAGAAAACAGCAGAACTGGGATTAAAATCCAGGGCTGCTGACGCCCAAGCCAAGGAGGACAGTGTCTGCTCTGTCTTAGGCCCAGCCGGTCACCCTCAGCAAGTTACCAAAATCCCTAAGGCTTGGGGTTCATATTTCAAAAGTGTCGATGAGAATTCAAGGTTATTGTGAACTTAAGATCATCCAGGTGGGAGTAAATTATGGAATAAGATGCAAATATCAGAGCAGGGAGGGGTAGTGGAAGCTCAGAGAAGAGTAAGACCTGCCTTTGCCCTCAGGGAGCCACTGGAGAGTCAGACAAGCAGAGTCAGCCTGGACGGAAGATGGGGGGAAGCAGTTCAGGGAGGCTTCCTGGAGGTGGTGATCTGAGCTGATCATGCTTACTATCTGAACAGTCTGGGAAATACTTGCATGGTAAGGGAGAGCACTGCCTGTTTGGTTTTTACCCAGGGAGACTTATTGTTGATGTTTTGAGCCAGATCATTCTTTGCATGTATGTTTGGGACAGGGGGTGTCCTATTGCATGTTGGGGGTTGAGCAGCATCCCTGGCCTCCACCCACTAGGTGCCATGAGCACCTGCCTCCCAGTCTCCAGACCTCACCACATGACCCCTGGACCCACAGCTACCCCCACTTGAGAAACTCTGCTTGGAGCCTAAATAATGAGCCTCTAATCTGTGTGACTTCATCTGTCAGTACGTTCCAGTGGGGCATTTTCCCTTAGGCTCCAGTTAATCAATTAACTTCCCCACTTGCTCTCACTATTCACTCACACATTCATCCCTCCGTCCTGTCAAGAAAGCTTTACCAGGTATGCTTAGATTCTTGGCATCTCTAAAGAATGCTTTCCTCACCTTCCATGTTCCTGGAGTTGTGGCACATCACAGGACCTATGCTGGGCTGTGAGCACACGCAGTGGAGGCATCAACTGCGCAGGTGGAAACTTCCAGGCCCCACAGAGGAGCCAGGTTCTGAGAAAGGCTGCGTCACCGCACTCTGGGGACTCAGAGGGCCCTGCCCGTGGAAAGTCCGAGAGACTGAAGACTCCAAGGGGAAGGGATTGGGTGGAGTTGATCCAAACTCTAGCGCCTTCTGGGTATTTCCTTGCCCCATCTATTTCCTTTATGTTTTCTTTCTGATGTGGGCACCAGAGCGACCCACAGTCAAAGCCTATGTCAGGTGATTCTAGGTGGGGTTTTCAATAATTCTGAAGTAGAAATGAAAGCATCATATCAGCCTGGCTTTCCTTTCAGCTACAGATGGCATGCGTGAGCTGTAAGGTATGCTGGCCGTCACGGTTCCAGCCTGTGTGGTGGGGAACTGCACTCAACATCACACCATCCCTGTCTGAAGGGGGATGCCCTGATGGCTGGGGATGGGGGTGGGGGAGCAGGTACAGGCCCATCTGAGGTGGCTGCGTGTCTTGGCTTTGAACCCAGCGGGGAGTCTCACTGGGAGCTGGCCCAGCCCTTCCCTGCACCTGATGGGCTTGAAAAGCAGGTGACAGTGGGTACGTCTCACCTGAGCTAGGTCTGAGCAGAGGTTCCACCGGCAAGGGCAGGAGAGAGCGCTGGGCTTGGAGCAGAGGCCTGGGGGTAGCCCTGCTGGTCAGAGCCGTGTGCCCCTGAACTGAGAGCTCAGCCTCTCTGAGTCTTGGTGTCTGCTGCTGTGGAACAGGAGTAACTCCTGTTGTGCCTTCCACCAGATGAGGGTGGGGGGTGAAGACAGTGGGATACTTGGAGGAGCCCGTCCAGGTCTCCCTAGAAATAAGAGGTAGACGAAGGCAGATGCACATTCCAGGGGTGAAGGGGCGGCTAAAGGTCAGGGAGCTGGTGGCCATGCAAAGGCCCCATTTACATGTCAGTGCACACTCACTGCTTCTGGGGTTAGGCTGACATGTCTTTTGGGGAGACACAGTTGGGGGGAGCAGGAGAGCCAGACTAGGTTGGAGACGCAGACTTGACAGGCACCACAGGCAGAGGGAACATGTGTGCAGAGTCAGGGGCCAGAGACAGTCTCAGAACTGCAAGCTTCCAACTGGCTGGACTAATGGGTGCTGGCGGGTGAGGGGAGGCAAATGTGGGGAGGTGAGGAGGAGGCATAGGTAGAAAGTTAATCAGGTGCAAGCCGGTTCACATCTTTGAACCTGTCCCCGAAAACAGTGGGCCACCTCTGGGCTTCATCTCATTTGACGCCCGCATGCCCCTGAGTAGTAGTATGATCCCCACATACACGCTCAAGCCAGGAACCCAAGGAGTGGGTTGAAAGGGGTGAGCCCCCTGCCCATGAGGCACTGCCCTGGCCAGGCTGGGCCTGGGCACATGTCGGAGCAGAGTGAACTGGAGTCATTATGACTTTCCAAGTTAAGTGCTATGGGTCCAGCATCTGCTGTTTCTTCAACACCTGGGTTGGAAAGACCCCATTGCCTGCTGGATAGCAGAGAGGACCCAGGTTCTGCATGGGGTCAGGGGGGTGTATCTCCCTCAAGGAGGCACAGCTGCTAGTTGGAGGAGTCAGGCCTCTACTCCTCCGTGAAACCAACAAGCTGTCAAATAAAAACGAATTGCTCCCAAATAAAAACACAGCTTTTTGGACTTAACCAGTCCAAGTCTATATTCTCAACTTTGGGCAGGGAGTGGGGAGGCTCAGTTTTTGACTTTATTTCAAAGTAGATCCCAGACGTCCTATACATCACTTATGAGGGCTGCAGAGGCTTCTCAGGTACCTGCGGATTGATGGATTTTTAAGGTAACCATAAGGTTGTGCTCGTGAAACCACCACGCCTCACGCCCTGGGAGGGGACAGACCGTCCCAGCCAAGACCTGTTCGAAAATCCATTGTTCACAGGGCAACGGTTCCTAAAATGGGGTCCCCAGACCAGCAGCATCAGCAACACCAGGGACCTCCCTAGAAAAGCAGGTTCTCAGACCCCAGCCCAGACCTACTGAGTCAGAAACTTGGCTTGGGCCCAGCAGTTTTTGAAACCCCCCATGTCTCCAATGCTGGCTCTGGCAGCACCATGCTGCCCCTGGGAAGCAGTGGTACAGGTGGCAGTGCCATTCTTGCCCTGGGTGGGCTTGTGGTTGATGCAGGTTCTGGTTCCTTCTTGAAGGGTGCCCAGGTGTGAGTCTGCAGCGGCACCCACTTCCAGTTTGCATCAGTGACTCTGAAGCCCAGTCAGTGGGTGAGACCTGGGCCTCCCCTCACTTTCTAAGTGACCCTGGGGCCAAAGTCTCCTCTGTAAATTGTTCAGCTGACAGCACCTGCCCCTTAGTGATATGGGCAGGGATATGAAGCTGGGAAGCTCTTCAGATGTTTCCTGGTGCCGAGCTAGTGCTGCCCAAAGACAACTTTCTTCGTTTCTTTCCTTAACAAAACACAGCGGCTGTTACCAAAATGGGGTGGCAGGGACAAGGCAGATTTGGGAATGAGCTCGAAGCCAGTCACCAGGAGTCTCATTCTCTGGGCAGGGCCTGGCTGAACCTCTCTGCAGAGAGTGGGGTGGAGATTTGGGGGCTCCCCTTCTAACTCTTGGGATTAAGTGGGTCTGGCTCTGCCCCCCACCCCCCTCCAGGCATCAAGGCTGCAGGGAGCAGCAAGGGATGGTGAGGGAGGAGCCCCAGGTTGCCCGGGACGACAGGCTCCCCGAAGTCCCAGATGAAGGGCTGGAGGGGCCCCTGAGCTGCCTCAGCTGGGAAGCCTCTGGGAGCCTCAAGAAGGTTCTTGTCACCAGCAGGAGACAGGAGGCTGGGATAATCAGGGAGGGGGGGGAGGGGACTGGATCCCAGGAAGGCTGAGGGGCCTGGTGGGCACAGCTGGGCTCTGAGCAAACACCCATGTGATTGTCCTGGGTCTGCCTGTCCCTAAGGCTCAGGAAACATGAGTTACATATTGTTCATTTAAATAGAGCTCATACTCTGGAATCTTGTTTCTTCCTCCATCCTTTGAGGGAAGATAGAGCTGCCAATCAAGTCGCAGCACCGCCACCAGCCCCGAAAGGGAGTGGACAGTGCACGTGTCAATGTTGTAGTGTTCAAGGTACGAGATCCAAGGGTATTTCATTTTTTAAAATATTTTATGTTTGCTGGTTTCACCTGCTGAAAAGGGAGTAGAAAAAAGCATTTGCCTCTATAACCTAACCCAAGTTTATGGTCGTGAAATACCGCTTCCCATTGAAAAAAAAATTAAAATGCGGGCTTTCTCGGAGTAATAGCCGATTCCAGGGCTGCAAATGTATAAGACCAGACTGGACTATTTCGTTCTCCCAGGTGGCCAGGGCTCCGTCAAGGAAGGCCCCCAGCACGATGCCAGCAGAACTGCTGGGACTGTTCCCCAGCCAGGGGTGTGGCAGTTAGAGGGGCTGAAAGGATACTATCCAATGGATTGAAACCCATTCACCAAAGTATTTTTTTAAATGAGTGGATCAGTGGCTCACCTTCAGAGGATGAGGAGGAGCCGGGGCATCATCATGAAAACAGGTAAGAGAAAGGGATCCAGCAGGGCCCTGCTGTTCCGGTACCGCTTGGTGACCCAGTGGTAGACACAGGGAACCATCATTTTATGAAAGTATTCCAACTAGCAAATTTAAAGGATATGATGGAATTGGAAAATCACAGTTTTGCAATACCTCCCCCCTCCCCCCACCCGGGAGCTAATGGCTCTAGACTTTAGATCCAACAAGTGCTCACATCCTCACATCGCAAGTAGAGACAACCAGATTTCAGAGCCCCCTGCAGGAAGAACACAAGAGCAGCAGCGGCACTGCCAGTTTGCAGGGGCTTCTGGGGACAAAGAAATAGGCAGGTGGGCATCAGGAGGGTGCCACCTGCGGTCAGGATATGGGGGTACACCAGGGCAACACACCCCAGCTTCTCAAATTTTAAGGGGAAGGGAGAATTGGGGAAGCATTAAGCAGAATCAGAGCCCCTGAACATCTATATCCTACCCCCCTGAACCTCTGACTAGGTGACCTCATGTGGCCCCACAATCTTTGCAGCTGTGATTGGGTTAAGGCTCCTGAGCGCGGAGAGGCGCCTGGATTACCCAGGTGGGTGTAATGGATTCACAAGCATCCTCATAAAAAGGAGGCTGATGGGTCAGAGTGTAGGTTCGCCTGCATTCCTGTAATGAAGCAGGAGGAGGGACTCCCGAGCCAGGGAATCCATTTGGATGACTTCTAAAGGCTGAAAAAAATCAGGGGATGTATTTTGCCCTTGAACATCCAGAAGGAATGCAGCCCCCACAGATGCCTTGATTTTATCCCGTGAGGCTGATTCCCACATGCGCCCTCCAGAACTGGCAGACAGTCGTTTGTGTTGTTATAAGCCAGCAGGTTTGTGAGCCTCTGTTCCAGCAACTACGGGGAATGGATGCAGATGGAGCCCCGAAGGGTAAAGAAATGTAAAGAATGTTCACATTAAAAACGCAGGCAAGACCAGGCGAGAGCGACTAGGTGTGCAAGGAGGTGAGGAGTGTGGGAACGCAAGTCAGAAGGGTACCTAGGTGGGAGGAAGGTCAGAGCCCTCTTTTGTCCCAGCTGCTGGTTTCAAAGGGGTCACCTGATAACAGTTCAGATAAGCTGGTCCTTTGTTTCGTGTGGCTTCCAGAGACTGCTCGTACAGTCAAGAAGGAAAGACAAGAAGAATTGGAAGGACCACGAGTGGTGTAGAGTGTGCAGCTGCAGGTGTAGAGGAGGGGACATTTTCTCCTGGTCTTGCTGAGATTTATTTCAAGAGATGGGCACGTGGGCATGTCTGCGGAGCTCACAGCTGATATTACGCACAGACCAGGGCAGAGGAGACTTGTCAACGCAATGAATGCAGGGCATGGAAGGACTACTCCTGCATGCCACTAAAACCCAGGCTGGCAGTTACCTGGGTGACCGCCCCTGGATCCTCAGCATCCTCTCTCCTACGAGAAGCAGAACATAATCGTGTCAGTAGCTACTGATGGGATGGGTGGATGGGGAACAGTGTCCTGCCCCCCTGGGAACATGGGGAGAAGGAGGACAGCTTGCTCTCCCTGCCCCTTGGGTAGTCCTGGTGCCCAGGCAGGACCATGGCAGTGCTTCCTGCTTTCCTGGCTGCCCAATCTTGCACTCCCAGGCTTCCATCCTGACAGACCTCTGCCCTTCTCAGCCCCCTTCTGGGATGTGCTTCTTCTGTTTGCAGTCACGTGATTTCTGACAGTCCAGCCGGGTGAGGCTTGGTGGGAACCAAGCCAAACAGGAAGTCAGTGTGAAGGAGTGGACTGTTGAGAGAGACACGAGCTCACTTGCTTTTTATCTTTTGAAGTTCTATCTCA